TCAGTCAAATTACTTTATTATGAGCGAAATTATGAATGTCTTCTTGCCTACCCATTGTCACTATCTATAATTAAATCTACAAACTTTCCACTAATATACTAGAGGTTACTTGAGGTAACAATAAGCAATACAGAATAATTATATTCTTGACTTAACTTTTAATTGTTCTTAAGGGATAATTTTTAATTGTTCTTAAGGGGTAGTATTTAAGTGACACCCATTCATTCATTCATTCATTCATTCATTTAGATGACTTCTTGGGGCCTTGTTTATGTAATGTTTATAGTTAGATTATCGGTAGTCAAACTTAGGTGCCAAGTTATAAAGAAAGGCTACTTGGCATATATTTATGATAGAGCCTCCATTATTAAGGTCCCTACAATGTAATACATTCTATAGGTATTGGTATTGTTTACCTTTTTTGATATGCTTGAATTAACTAATACTAATATAATATAATATGTTTACAGCAAAGTTAACAAGCATACATATTAGTTTTCATATTGATAATGCAGTATTGGTATCATTATGTCTTACAGAGAATGTTTCAGGTTTTGCTTCACAAATCTCATTCAAAAAGACTTAGACCAAATCCGTAAAGACTGGAATCAACATAAGATGAGACCAACTAAAGGGGCAGAGTGTCCTGCAGGCAAACCAGACTTGTTATATTTTACTCCACAATTGTTTGGTAAGGCGACAATCACAAGATTTAATATGAGAAATTATTTTCACCATATGGGGGTAGAAACTATTTGGTCATTATTTGATCATTAAATGAAAACTAAGCTGCTTTTATGTCATATATCAGATATTTTTGTGTGATTTTTTTTTTCATTTTAATATTCAGATACAGTTGATTACAAGACCGAAGTTGCTGTTGAAGATCTTGATAGTTTTAGTCAGTTTTGTAAATTTTATGGACCCAACGGTTGTTTAAGAGAATTTGAAAATGTATGCTCAGAATTGTTAGTGCAGGCCGGAAAAGAGATGCCAAATGATCCAGAAGAGGCATTAGAATTATATAGTTGGCTAAAAATGAGAAGTGACTAATTAAACATACAGTGTTTGTGGACCCTCTGGAGGGTACAATTTTTATATGATTTTGATGAAACTTGAAATGTATGGTTATAGAATATAACCCAAAGATCTTGATTTCTTTCGATGTGGTCCCTCTAGAGGTCACAATTATTATCCGATTTACAAAACCGTTCCACTGTATATTTCACTGTTACATAGTTATGATGGTTGAGCTCGAATTTCATAAAAATTGGACTGATAGTGTAAAAGTAGGTTATGTAATACCATGGTTGTTAATCATCTGGAGGTCACAATTTTTTTTATCAAATTTTGATGAAAATAAAAATATGTTTTTATCCTATAGATCTTGGTTCCTTTTGATATATCGGAATGGTAATTTCCTGGATTATGACCCCTGAATGTCTGAAAATCCGTGTTGGCCAATTGTTGTTCATCTAGAGGATAGACTTTTTGCCTGATTTGGAATAAATGTTTAAATTTATCACCGTTACACAATAATGTCAGCTGATTTTGAATTTCATAAAAATCGGACTGAAACTGCTTGACAAACTAGCCACTCCCCGTACGCAATAAGGTTATGACCCTGTAGATGTCACAATTTTCTTTTTATCCGATCCAATTTCAGTGAAACTTAATTTTATTTCCTATAGATATGCTTTCATATTGATACTTGAGCGTATCGAATCGTAACATGCCCGATTATGGCTCTTGATATTCCTTAAAACACATCTTATATTAGCTTGTTATCTGTCCATCTCTTGCAAAATGTGGGTGTATCTTGCCTGGCAACCGCTGGTCAAACAGTTTGGAAGACAAAGCTTTTATTGAAGGCCAAGGGTGTATATTAACCTATTATTCATCAGCCTGAACTAAGGTTTTGGGGGGGTTGGATGGTCGAATGGTTAGCGTGCACACTGTATTGTTCAGCCTGCTATTGAGTCAACTGGCATGGTTTCAAATCCCCAGTTGTACGTGACAAGGAGCAGGGTCGTCTGTCCAACCTCATGGGTTTTCTCCCACTGCTAAAGACCCCTACGCGCAAGCGAATTATGGAAATACAATTAAACCATATGTTAGTCCAGAAAGGACCTAGTTTGTGTCAAGTGGACGTTAAACCCCATTTCTCTCTCTCTCTATAAGGTTTTGCCAGAATACCCTAAATGGTGTTTGATTAGTTGCTGGGAAAGGCTTTACCCATAAGGCCTTATTAACAGATATAGGCCTGAAATGCAAAGTATGTTATTTTCTCTTCTATTTGTCACAATCACCTCTCGGGATAAGCACTGTAATCCATCGAAGGCATAAGCTAAACAGTTAAGGAGCACCAGTGAGGTGGTGGGGGTGGTGGTACTGTATTGTCAGCACCTTCATGATACCTGGTGCAATTAAGCTATTGGCCTCAAATTTCAATATTAGATACAATCTTACTTATTAATTTAACCAGGTCTAGGATCCTGTAATATGTAACCCTCCCAAAAAAATCATGACAGTATGTCTGAACTGTGGGACTTCGTAAATAGGGGAAGGGTGAAAGGGTTTTAGTTATTGCCCATCCGGACATGGAATGATCTTGTAGATGTATTAAATACATATTTGTCTTACACTGTTGTTTTTTAGTCAAATGTGTAAGCGGTTTCTACCCATCAATGAAAAATCTTCAAGACTTTCCTTTGACCACCCTATCCCGTCCCTTTCAAAAATCCTGTATCTAGCCTACATTTTAAAAACAGCAATAAATCTAGAATCTTAAAATGGTAGAAGGCCTAGTCTTTATGGGATGTAGTCAGTACATACACAGAAAAAATTTATGAATATTTAATAACTTAACAAGATACAATAACAGTTTCTTAATAAAAGGATTTTTTAAGAAATTAAAATTATGACATTAACTATGCCTAAAGGTACAAAATCATGTTTAACCCAAAATTTACATGGAACAGTTGATCATCAAACTTAACCAATTTAATATGGAACCTAATTAAGGCAACATCATTAAACATATTCATCAACAATAATAAAACACATGGCAGTACACTAATCCATATTTAAGGATAGGTTGCCTCTCAACAAAAATATCCCCCACAGCAGCTAAATCGACTGGACAGTTGCATATTTTTTTTTTGTCGTTAATGAAACATTTATAATGCACATAAATCGGATTAAGAGTAACAACTCATTAAGTAATTAACAGAAAATCATTAGAATTTGTTTGGCTCATGCTAAAGTTTAATATACAAAACATTTAATATCATGGATTTAGCTGTTTAAGTTCATCAAAAATCATTGAAAATCAATAAGATCTCATAACCTTCAACTCTGTTTTAGTGAATATAATATCAAATCAGATGATAACTTTGGTCGGAGCATCCACAGGATTTTAAAAGTGATCAAGGGCCATAATGTTGACAGTAATTATCAGAAATTGTTGAAAATCAAAAAGTGTCTTTAACTTAATCTTTGAGTGGCATTTATTGATTGGGAAACAAATTACCAGAACAAAATTTTTATGGGAAACAATCACTGGTTTTATTTGATGTTTCGACAACTATCCTCTTATCGAAACGTGGTGCTTTTAGAATAAAACCGGTGATTGTTTCCCATAAAAATTGTGTTCTGTTGATGCGTCTTTAACTGATGACCTTAAACACTGTGTATAAATTTAAAGTCAATTGGATATTAACTTTAGCCACTAGAGCATCCACAAGAATTTTCAAAGTAATCATAGGCCATGACTGTGGCAGTAAACATCGAAAATCATTCATGACCTTAAACACTTAATAAATTTAATGTGAATCGGATATTGACTTTAGCCTCAAGAGCATCTGCAATGTTTTTCAAAGTGATTAAAGGCCATGACTGTGGCAGTAAATATTAGAAATGGTTGAAAATCAGTCTGATGACCTTAAACACTGTGTATAAATCTTAAGTCAATCAGATATTAACAGAGCTAACCAAGGTAACGACAAAATTTACAACCACATTTCAATGTGGGAGTATAAAAATTAATGTAAGAATTTTAATCTTAAAAAGGTTTGTTGTGATTGCAATGAAGACATTCAAATTAACTTTATATGCAAAAGCCTGTATATTAATCATTATTTCTACCCATTGTCAAATAAGAAATTCCCTATGAAATTAAAACAATTTAATTCTCCTTTTCAAATAATAGAAAACCAGTTTCTTGTAGGAAATTTACATGTACAAAATGTTCAGGCATAGGATTTGGTACAAAAAGTCTTGCAAAGGGAAGTAGTTTGTGTTTTACTGATACCGGTACTGCAATTCTGACAACAAAGAAATTAAGTTACAAAGAGCATATTAAATAGGTAAACGATAAAAAAATATAAAGGTAATATTTGTCGGACTTTATCTGTTTGCAGGTGTAAAAAATACTGCTTCATTACTACTATACATCTTTTAACATAAAATTTTATGTTAAAAATTATAAATAACTCAGACTGCAAAAATTGATAATGCAAAATTTATACATTGCATATTTTCTTAGATTGTTGCAGCTTTACACAGAAATAAATAAAAACTGAATCAAAGAACATAAAATATATCACAAAGAAATAAATTTAAAACGGGTTACCCCCAAAGGTAAATAAGAAATTATTACACAAACAAACATAAGCAATACTTTAAATTTAACTATCTTAAAAACTATCAAATTGATTGGATAAAACAGACTAAGTTGTATCACAAAAAAGTGTTTTTAAATATAACTATCTTAAAAATTATCAAATTGATTGGATAAAACAGACTAAGTTGTATCACAAAAAAGCGTTTTTAAATATAACTATCTTAAGAACTATCAAACTGATTGGATAAAACAGATTTAAGTTGTATCACAAAAAGGGCAATTTTAAATTAACTATCTTAAAAACTATCAAATTGATTGGATAAAACAGACTACGTTGTATGACCAAAAAGTGTTTTTAAATATAACTATATTAAAAACTTTCAAACTGACTGGGTAAAACAGAAAAAGGCAAGTTAATATTTTAAGCGTCAGTAAAAATATTGCCAATTCTTAAAGACATGGCCATTGCAGTTTTGAATGCATCATAATCTTTTAACACTGGAATGTTAAGGGTATTAGCACAAGTATTTGCAAACGGGGCAATGTCCCATTCAAAAGATGGGTGTCTAAACAGTAGCTTTAGTGGTGGGTTGAATCCCAGTGGAGGTATGTCCTTTAAACCAGTCACAAAAGATAACAAACTACCCAGTTCATCTGTTTCTGAAATTTAAGAGGATAAATAAAAATTGAGTTTCATCCACATCTATTGTAAGCCTGCAGTTGTCAAGAAATTAAAAGTACATTATGAAAGCGCTAAATCTGCCTTTTGCAGATCTTTTTTTGGGCCTGAAATCTTATCTAAATTATCCAGGCCATTATCAACTCTGGATGCCATTGGATATCTATATATTTTACTTAAAAGTAGATAAGAACGGTGGTTGCAAATAATGCAAATATCCTATCCAACCTTTAAAAGTTAATATCTTTGCTCGCAATGGAACAATATTTGGAGACAAGAAATACCTATGGACTGTCAGATGGACATGGGCAACCATACCATTTGTCCCATGGTATTATTAAAAATTTACACTGTACTGTTGTGTGGTTCACTATTCTAACATGATAAAGGTGGGACAGAACTAATAGACAATGAAAAACAGAAAAATATACTTGAGGATGATTACCTTCAAGATCCAGAAGAAAATCTCTCCAATGAGCATGGCTGTTTAATTCCTGTTCAAGCGAAAAGCTGTTTTCGCTAAAAACCGGAGTAAACAGGTGATCAATATTAATGGACGACAATTTTTCATACGAGAAAACAAAAAGTTCTCTCATGACTTCTGGATTTTTAATTATTTCCTTTCTCAAACCTAAAGAATCCATCCCTTCACAGAACCTAAAATAAAGTTAAAATTAGTTGTTTAGGGATATTTATTGATGAAATATGTTCATATTTCTATAATAAGTCATTCAATGTGGAAGTTTAACAAATTTCTCAGGCAAACCGCATTTCCTTCTACTTTTTTTCCTGATTGCCTATGGATTAACATGCATTGACTTATGGAGGACATCATTTTTTTTTATCTCCCCATTAAAAACTTGTAGCTTTTCTACGTCCAGGAACACCAATTTTTCAGATAAACAGTGATCAAAAAACATTCACTTACTGATTCAGTACTCCTTTTACCCTGTCCACAACAAAATACCGTGTTAATAATGTGACTAGACTTTCTTTATTTTTTACATCGAATATAAGAGGTATAGCTCCTAAAAAGTCTATATGGCCAATAAGAGGCTGAGCAGCCTCTTGTAACATTATTACATCATCTGCCCTTGACAACTGTTAAAAAACGAAAAAAAAAAAAATATTCATCAATATAATCATACAACAAAACACCAGCTTTTATATGCATTTTATAATACAATTAAATTGGAACCAGATTCGGCACCCACCGTATGATACAATCACTTTGACAAACAGAAAAGATCCTGCATTTGAATTTTACTACTGAACAAATCTATATCTAATACACTAGCATTCGAAATACCTCTTTAATTTGTTCTCTGATTTGATAATCTACTATGTCATCCAATTTTGGTTCACAAGAGCCAAAAGCTATCAGATCATAAAGGATTCCAGAAAAGAATCTTGGCACTGGACCTTTACATTGAAAAAATAGAAACAATTATGTTAAGATTAAATGAGTCAATTTATCTTTGATCCTTAAATATAAATTATGAAATGGAGTTTAAAATCCTTCTTTTCTGCTCCAGATCAATTATGTAAGAATCAGATAAAGAGCTGGCTTCTGCTATAATAGTTCAAAAATAAATATTTGAAAAGTAATATATTGAAAATTTCCTCAAATTAAGTTATTCTTAGAGATGTTGTCACTGTTTGAAGTTCTGACAAATTTTTTATTATCACTGCAACATTACTTGTCTTGTTTATCAAGACTCTCTCACGTCTCCACGTTTGAATTAAATCATTAAATGGCAATCGTATTGCATCCATTTACATCTGCTGGAGAGTTGATTATAGGCTTGTCAAGTAATAAGTAAATATCTAAATAATAGTTTTTATAACATTTGAGGCCTAAATAAAAACCCACATTAGGCAGATTTAGCTCTTATATAATGTATCTTTAAAGGTTGTTTAAAATTAAAACACCAATTAAAGGTTGCAAACATCTGCAGTCTAATAAAGTAAGCTAAATAAAACAGATTGATTAAATCTGTAGAAACATAATAAAAGAAATTTAATAATTTTGTTTTAGGTTTTTAGTTTTAATTTACATCAATCTGGAAGGAAAATCACTCAGAAATTTGTTTGTATGATAAGGATAAATATCAAGACAGAATATAGGTAGCTGGTATATGCATAATATCAGTTAAATATCTATATATACTTGAAATGACACTGTATTACTACAATGATACAATATTGCTTTCAAAAGTTCAACAATAACTGCAGATACCTATGCTGTTTGTTAATTTCAAAATCTCTCTAGGCTTAAATGTAGATAAAGCGATAGATTATTGTTCAAAATTCATCTTAAGTGGTGTCTAATGACATTTTTATGCCCAGACATACTACAGACATCCAAGTTGATAACATCCAGAAATTCAATTGTAACTGCAGCTACTTGCATCACTATATACTTAATGTTAAAAGGAATGAATATCAAAATACTTACCACGGTGAATTACTGAATATGATATGATTTTTCCAAACAGTCTGTAATCATCTCTTTCTTCACCTGAAAAATAATTTAAATCGTGCAGTTAAGCTAATAGATATCCCCGCACTGAGCCTCCAGTGGGTAAGACGCTGGCTCGCTAGTCTGGAGCTCAGGTGTTCGATCCCTGCATTGGTTGAGAAAGTGCATCCAGATTTACCGGTGTGGTTCCCCCTTGTCAGTGATGCCGGACCGAGGGCCCGACAAGGACAGCTGTCTAGTTGTTCGGATCGGATGGAAAACCAATGTCTGATGACAACATTGGCATGCGTATATAAGTCAGTGAGCGTATTCCCATCTTCATTAGTTCAGTTCAGCGCCGAACAATAGAACATTAAAACCCCAGACTATAAAGCCACTAAGACCACAAGATATATATAGCAAAAGGAAATAACTTGAAGATATCCGTAAAATAGCATTTTTCCCTTCAATCGAATAGGCAACCAAATTGGCTCAGATATAATCAAAACTAAAAACCTCCATGGTGTTAACAAGATATTATGACAAACCGGAATAATGACAATATATAACCATACTAAAATGTGAGCATATAACAAGATAATGTCAGTAAGTCTGACTGGTTACTTGGGAGCAAGTGGAAGCATGGTCACAAAGGTTGATTTCAGTTGACAATGCTGATTTTATTAGTATGATTCACCTGTGCATTTGATACTTACTGGGGATATCAGGACAGAGCATTTTACACTCTGACCCTTGAAACACTTGTGAATCTTTTATAGAGCTCATTAGAAGTTGTAAAAGTTCTCTGGATATTATCGATACCATTTTCCCCTGAAAATTTGACGCTTAAACCGAATTCGGGCCTGAAGGTTTTTCTGGAAAACGCTCTCCTTGTTCCAGACAAAACATCACCTCGGCTTACATTGATGATGTTTTTCTCATTTTTTATCTGACTATTCAAGCGAACTAGAATCTCTTCCAAGCTCTCAGCTCTGAAAATAAAATTAAGATAGTTTTAACTACCTGATATATTGTGCCTGTCTAAATTTTTTCTGGCCTTTATTGGCCTAGATATCAGTGCTTAAGAGTAAGGCATAAATCTAAATATATGCATTTGGTAAACTGGATATTAGACTTGGACGATAACTCTAGAATACATGCTTGTTAAATCACTCAAATGAAATTTGATCTACCGGTATACCTTATGCTCATAACAATTGCATAAAGAACAGTCTGTCATTACGAACACATCACATAAAAATTATCAGTTCATACCAGAATGAATCAACTACAGTCACACCACTTCCATGCATGTGAAGAAAGCATTAATCTAATCAAATGGGCAAAATCTTTGCTGATGAGAGTCATTTACCCTTTAAAACCAATTGACTCTGGTTTACCAGGCCTTATCTAAAGCCTGAATTAAAGATATGCCTATGAATATGATGATATAAATTTGTCCCCTTCTGGGTGAGTGTTTTAATCTAGCCTAAAAGTTTTGTGAGGATCATTTCAAAATATGGAGCATATGCCCAACAAAAGTATCATTTATTAAAGACAATTTACTTACTTTTTACTTTTCTTGAAGGTTATCTGCAAGTAAAAAGATCGCTTATTTCATAAGATGGCATACACGTACACACAATAATGAAGACTGCTGTGCCAATTTTAAATAATAAAGAAAGATCATTGGGTGGCCTGAAAAGAGGGCTAAAAAATTGAGTATTTCTGACAAATTTAACTTTTACTTTTGGATTTGATATCAGTCTGATTACTGGAGCAGACTGAAGGTGGTTGCGTCTTATTCTTCAAAATAAATCGGTAGCCATTCTATGATTAATGGACTTTAAAATATTGGCCAAGGTCCTTTGGTGAGTGAGGGCTCAACTGAATAGAGTTAAAGGCCCAACTTTGTCCTAAATTTTCAATAGTCTTTTTTGTATTTTTTGTACCCTCAACATCATTTTAAATTGCATCTTGATTATAAATTATTCTATTTATATACTTACAGTTGGTGTTCCTGAATAAAATGAGATATCCGGTAGTTCATCATCTGTGTCATCATTGATGATATTTGTTGCATAATTTACAGCATTAATTGCTAGTTGTGGTTGAGTACAAGTAGCTGAAGTTTGTTGATTTAATGTGGTAGATGAAGTTGATGATGATGGTGGTTGAGTACATGTGGCTGAAGTTTGTTGATTTAATGTGGTAGATGAAGTTGATGATGATGGTGGTTGAGTACAGATCCCCCTCCTTGAGATAGTGGAACTAGTTTAAAACTCTGTCCTGTAGATAACTTCCACCCAGTATATAATCTACCATTGGACTTGAACTTGTTGTTATTCTGTGTTTTTTTCTTTTCTGATAGCTCTTTGAATTTCTTTAAAGATGGCGATTCACACTGACCTAGAAAATTTGAATTTGTGAAGTCAAAACCAATGAATGGAAAATGCATTTGCCATACAAGAACCAGATTAAATCAGCCAGATTAAATCTGCCAAGCAAGGGCAATATGCCAGTCATCCATATATAGCATTCATAGTACAGTGAGAACACTTATTTGATTTTAAAAATACCTGTATCTGATTTTGAAAATCTTCAAAATGATAAACTGAGCATATTGAGGTATGCATTATATATGAAAGATCTGCAGCCATTTCAAAGACAAATCTAGACCACGAAATTTAACTAAACACAAGGAATTAATACCCAATATTCCTTAAAGTTAAGTTCTAGTTTCAATGAGAACATACATGCTAGTTGGTGTGAAAAGCAGTTAACCAAACATGTTCCCCTTCGCAGCTAAATTTACCAGCAGTTATTCAGATTACAGGATAAAAATTTCAAAAAGACATAATTAAACTGCAGATATATGACAATTGCATATATTACTGAAATATTATAAACATAGCCTTGCAGAGTGTGTAATTACGCCTACACAGCAGCTCTGCCTCGACAGCAGCACATCTGAAACAGAAGGATGCAGAAATAGGGTTCATCCTCTCATGACCCCAATTCATCACACCCAATTTGAAAAAACACTGTAGCAGTTATCATATTCCAGAAAACAAATTTGAAAAAAAAATCTGTTAAAAACTGTATCCACAATAGCATTAACAAGTCAATTATTGACAGGCGGACCGACAGACAGACATTGGTGACAACGTATTTCATATGTGGGCATATAAAAATAAGTTAATAAATGCAGCATATAAATTATAAAGTTCTAACTCTGGGGCATAACTCTAGTGGTCTTTATCGAAAATAAACGGCGCTTATTTCGATTTAAAAAAAATATGGATTGTAGTTAACTCTGGGGGTTAAAATTGGCTAAAGATTTTCGATAACTTCCGTCTGTCATTGACATTTCTTGTTTGTACACATGAGTTAACTACAATCCATACTTTTAACAGTATTTCGGTTTTGCCAACATCTACTATCGCTATCCCCAGACTTTGCACATGCTACTTACCATTCAAATATGTTCTACATCTCTGTCTCAACCTAGCACGGTCCCCAATAGCACTCACACCAAGGAAATTAAATTCTGAATCGGTTAATGTTAGAACTTCTGGAGGGCCAACCTGTTAAATAAACATATATTAATTAAGAAAACCAGCGGCTGCTAGACACGATATGCCCACATTTTGCAAGAGATGGTTAGAGAACAAGCTGGAACAAAAGTGATTTTCCATGCGATCAGGGGCTATAATCCAGAAAGTTATGATCTGAATTGCGCAAATATCAAAAGGGACTGACATCTTTGTGATATAAAGATATATTTTAAGTTTCGTTAAAATCTGATAATCAGCAGCTGCCAGGCAGGAAACTCCCACATTTTGCAAGGGATGAAAAGAGAATAAGCTAAAAAAAACAAAAAATTTTGGTACAATCAGGGGCCATAATCCAAAAAGTAACGCTCTGAAATACACAAATATCAAAAGGGACTAAGATTTTTTTAATATATGAAGATATGGTCTAAGCTTAATTAAAATCGGATCACAATTGTGACCCCTAGAGGGTATCCATAACCTTTGTATTACTTATATACACAATTTGCAGACAAAGAGCGGCCATTTTGTCTGACAGTTTTGGTCCGATTTTCACAAAATTCAAACATCATTAGGGTGTAATGGTGATAAACTTTTTAAATCAAAAAATAGGTTGCCAGGCAACGAAACATACGCCCACACATACGGATTATAATGAAATAAAATAAATTGGGGTTTAACATCCTACAGTCTTGCTCCGACCGGGCAAAATGAAGATGGGCTTGACATGCAGTATGTTATTACAAAATTCCAACTGTCAAGGGATCATTTCCGTGCACACCAATGTATATACAGATCCCTGTTTTTCATCCCATCTGAACGACTACCGCTATGCATTGTCCCTCCATCCTACATCACTGACAGGGGGAACTACGAACCAGACGGGAAAATTCCAATGAACTTTAACTTTAACAAAACCTTTGTAAAAAAAATAGAAGATAGGTTGCCACTCTTGCCAGGCAACAAAACATACACCATACGCCCAAAGCATATTTTTTCTTTAGTCAGTAATGAGAACATTTACAACACATGAAAATCTGATTACAAGTAATAACCCATGATGTATAAATCATCAGAAACCAATTGTTTTGATTTAAACAATTTATATCAACTTTGGCCTTTAGAGTGAATGAATGCATGAATTGATTTTTGGCCTCTAGAGCGTCCACACTCCACCTTAAATCTGGCAGTAATTATCAGAAATCTTTGAAAATGAATAGGATTCTTTGTCTCATGATAGTAATCTCTATTTAAAGTCAATCAGATATTAACTTTAGCCACAAGAGTCTACAAAATTTTTGAAAGAGGTCACGCGCTACAGTATGGCAGTAATTGTTGAAATCAATAATCTTCTGTGTCTCGTGAATTTAAACAGTGCATATAAATCTAAAATCAATCAGATGTTTATTAACTTTAGCGTCTAGAATGTCAACCAGATATTTTGAAGCGATAAAGGGCCATAACTCTAGCAGTAATTATTGGAAATAGGCTAATGTGTCTTGTGGCCTAAAACACTCTTTAAAGTTACATAATGGGAGATAAGATAAAGAGATGGCAGTTCTCACTATAATAGTTAAAAACTAGATAGTGTAAAGGTAATTTGCTGAAAATTTCAGTCAAATTGATCAACTATTAGCCGAGAAAAAAGCGTTTCCAATATTCACATAGCCTTGGTCATCATTACTCAAATCATTAATATAAACAGTATAGTCTCGATTATCCACTTGATTGATTTAATTATCAACGGCCATTAAGCTGCATATAGGAATTTAATCCGCCAACATCGAAGGCTAGCCTTGACATAAAGAGTTTATTATGGTCTGGATATGTTAATTAATGTCTAATTGATTATTTAGATAACATTTCAGGCCTAAAGAAAGACCTGTAATAAGCAGATTTTTCTCTTGCATAATGCTATTTTAAATTTAAAAGTCAATTGATATTAAGTTTATAAATATTGTCTATACAGCGTCAACAAGATATCTTAAAGAGATCAAGGGCCATAACTCTGGCAGTAACTATTGGAAAATGTTGAAAATCAATAGGATTCTTCATCTCATGACCTTTAAACTGTGTGTAAATTTAGAGTCAATTCGATATTAACTTTAACCTCTAGATCTTGAGCATCAACACAACTTTTCAAAGGGGATCAAGCATCATGGGCCATATTTATCATAGTTTTTCAACATGAGATGCTAGGGAACTAGTGCTACTAGCCCTAACCCCACAAATCCTCCACAACAATCACATGCCCTAATTAAAAGCCTAATTATAATTAACGCTGTTTACATCTTAAAGTGACCTTGATGACATCTGCACAGGTGGCTTAAACCCTAGTCACTGACAGATCAACAGCTACTAGAATAGAAAGTAGAAAAATGTACATACAGACTTACTGGAAGTTTTATAGGACTTTATAAATAGGCTACTTGTTTAGTTGTTATAGTTTTTCAAATGACAATATAAGATGGGCATGTGGACGAATAGAAACGAAGTTTTCACAACCAAATATTATTGTAATACTAATAATAGGCCTAGTTCTAATGACAAGACCTAAATTTCCCCGGAATGATAATAATGTATTATAATTATATTCACATCCAATTAAAATATTAGAGTTGCAGTCAGATTTAGAAGCCGCATTTAATCACATCCACATCCAATAATTATAAAATAGTAATATGGCAACGTTCGGTCAATTATAGGACTACGCCTCCAGAACACGGAAATCTATAGGGCACCTAACTGTACCGAGTGACCTAGCTATTACTGTTAAAGGGACAATAACACCCTTGCTGGCTTGGCAGCTCTAGAAAATAATTAATAGTCTTATTCTAAGTACCAGATGTTTATGTGTCCTACCTGTTGTGTAAATTATCCATTACAACCTATTTTACTTGTCCAGAGGGTTCGAAAATATTTTAAAATCCAAGTCACATTTGAAAAGGTCTACGTTAACCTTTTCAAATCATGTAGTTGAATTTTTCCAATTTTTTAAATTAGGTGTGTTACGATGAATTTGTATCATAAATTTATTTGAATATTGTAAAATAATACACTTTGTTGACCAGAATAAAAATTGGGACATATTATTCAATTACAACAAGAGTGTTATTGGGGCTTTAAGCAACCAAATTGTATGATCAATGCCAATGGAATTAGCACGTGCAAGTTATGCAACCTTGCCAAATTAACCCAGCAAACGACCGATTTGTCACGTATTGAATTTATAAATAGAATACGATTATGGTATATTAACAAAAAACATATTTAAACTGGTATCGGTAACCTGTGAAAATATCCAATATCTAGGCCTAACATTTAAATAAAATGAAGTAAATATAGGCTACACGTCACGGGCCTAAAGATGTGCGTTTTCGCTTAATAATAATATTGATTGAGACTACACAAAAGGGTAATTCAATTCTGAGACAAAATTTAAACTTAACAATCCAAACAAAACTTGTAGTCGTATCTATCTACAGGATAGGCTACTTTAGTACTTACGGAATTGTCAGTAAATACATCTAAGAGATGGATTAAGCCCAAATCATTGAGAATTTTGTTGATCGCTAGAGCTTCCATCGGCTTTGACTTTGAATGAAAATACCAGACTGAATACAAATGCCGATACGGTAGTCAGTGGACATGCGTTATAAACTGCACTTCCGAGGCGAGAACACGAGAGGACGAGAAGTCGAGATTGTGACGAAGCGAGGGAGCGAGAACACGAGAGGACGAGATTGACCCAAAGGCGAGGGAGCGAGGGAGCGAGAAGTCGAGGTTTTTCAAAGGCGAGAACACGAGGGAGCGAGAAGTCGAGGGCGAGAAGTCGAGGGCGAGAACGCGAGGGCGAGGGAGCGAGAAGTCGAGGGACGAGAAGACGAGAAGTCGAGGTGAAAGTAATCTCGTGTTCTCGAGGCGAGATCCTCGTATTCTCGCCCTTTTTCCTCGCGTTCTCGCTCTCTCGCTCCCTCGCCCTCGACTTCTCGCTCCCTCGCGTTCTCGCTCCCTCGCCCTCGACTTCTCGTCTTCCGTGTTCTCGCCCTCGACTTCTCGCGGCGAGGGGACGAGATTCTGAAATGGCCGCAATAGGCTTCCATAGGGGGGGATATATTGTCTCGGCAACCTGGCAAACACCCTCCTGCAAAAATTACTGGATCTGTCCCTATACTGGTTTACAAAATGATACAAAATGAAATTATTCGTCTATCCAGTATTGGAACAGATGATTTGGAGTCTATCTTTTGTTGTGATGTTCATGGTGAACAAGGAAGAAAGAATTACAAAAAGTTCGTGAACACCATGATAAATCTCAAGAGGCTTAAACATTTTTACAGTATTAATCAAGAGCGGGTTTCCGTTATACGCATTATCCTGGTGTACAGGATATACTATCATCTGTTTAGTCACGCACTCTATTCTGATATAAAATATGAATTGTTAACATCTAATGTCAGGATCGTCCTAATAGCAATATACACAGAAGTGCACTGGCCCCCTCCCCACCCCCACCCCAACTCTACCTACATAAGCACACAGGAATAAAAATGTAAATCTATATAAAAAAAATGAAAGATGTCTGTATGTATGTATGTGTGTATGTTCGCCCATCACGCTTCGTCGCCACGATCTACCCCACGTATGTGGAATCAAATTAACCAGCACGCGCCCGTGAATGTTTTATGACATCGAATTAGGGATCCCGGGATAAATTGGCCCGTTTGACTTTGTGCCCCGGGCGAGTTTGGCCCCGGATGAATTTGGGTCCCGGGCGAAGCCAGATATCCTGCTAGTGGTGGATAAAATTAAACATATTATTTATTGTATTGGTACTTGCAACTCATTTAGTGTTTAAACAGCAAGACACAGCCAGTGACGGCACCAGCCGCCAGTTGTTGGTGGGGCAAAGTCCAAGGTTAAGGCGGTAAAAGTGCGAGTTTCAGCTAAGGGTATGGGATATCTCCCCGAGAAATTTTTGAAAAACGACTGCAGGAAATGCAGCCTGGCAGTATTTCAGGCAACGATTGTCGAGATAAACAGAGCCGATCGTATATTGTCTGTCGCCAAATCACCAGAGAGGAAAGTGTCAAACGAACGGACTGAGTGAATCAAAGTCAATGAATATTTTCACTACGATATTTTGAGAAATATACTGCCGGAAATCCATCCTGTCAGTATTTCAGACACTGGTAGTCGAGATAAACAGTTGACCAGATACTGTCTGTCGCCCAATTCCTAGCATATCCTAACAGAGAGGGCAAGTGAATCAATCGAACGGAGTGGGTAAATCAAAGTGAATGGATATTTTTGCGGCGTTCAAGTTCAACCTATGCCCGTAAAAAGCATTTTAAATTATTCAAAAAGTAAAATGGCATTCAAAAATAACCTGAGATGCAAGGAAATCGATTTCAAACATTCAAAATCTTCTGCGGGGGTGGGGGGACCCCATACCCATCAGTCATATTGCCCCTCCCCCGCCATCCAAATTTTTTGTTACGCATGCCCCTGTTAACGGACTGCGATTTAAAACCGAGGGAATAAATAAAAAAAAGAGTATAAGCCTGATCGATACCCATCATATACAAATACGTCACGCAATTGTTTCATGCCTGTCCAATGACATAGTTGTCTACCCGTTTTAAAATTGCCTCATAGTACACTGTATGGCGTATACCCGTCTTCATTAGTCGTCTCAATGAACAATAGAATTTTAAATTAGTTCCCGGTTTCTCAAGATGTTTATTTGTGTCAACAATGTTCCGGATATATATTTCCTATTTGAACTATGTATTTGTTTATTGAAATATATGAGTAATGTTATAAGATTAATGTTAATATAGCGGTATACATGCATTGTATTACAGACTATATAATCACTCGTAACGTTTAAAGATGCATTATATAAGAGCTAAATTTGCCTATTGCAGGTCTTTCTTTAGACGGATTAAAATGTATTTGTAGCCCAAAATGGAAATTCTTAGATTCTGATTGGCCGAAAAGCGACCTCGAATGATATAACAATCCTCTAAAATTTTTCATTAGAGGCGCTCAATCGCTACGCGATTTCCACCTCTAATGATTTAAGCGTTATCAAATGGATAATAACAGTCCGATAAATTCTAAATAGTCGGGGTTTATCGCCTCTATAAATTGTTAATTAAACATTTATTGACATGCCTAACCCATAATCAATTCGATAGACTCTCTGGTGGTTGTGCATTGGAATGGATTCAAACATTTAATAATTTAATTTAAAATGGATAATTACTTTGTTTATTATCGTACCATGGACTTGGCTCATATCACAATAATCTGCCTGAAATTTTTAATATACCCCTTTTCCATTATCTATTTTTAAACCATGAGAGCTGTAATCTTACATAATTCATCTTTAAACATTTACCAAACCGAAAATCCATATACAACAAATTTTACACGGAAATGGAAATCTAAATTGATCTTAAACCGGAGGTTGTGTACTTAATGTCATATGAAAATGACTTCATTTCAAATCTTAAATGCGTTAACACACCACACATAAACGGTTAGGTCTAAATATTAAGGTCACCTGCAGATTTCGTCAAGATCAATAGATGTAAACGGGGCTAGCGCTAACCCTAGTCCTAACCCACAATCACGCGCCCTATCCTTATTTACATTTCGCGACCGTGACAAAATCTGCAGGTGGCCTTAATATTTAGACCTGACAACACATAAACCCATAAGTCACTCACGCGGACAATACGCACATCAAACAACAAACGTGTATGCATCCAATCAAGTGAATGGATGCGGTGGCCAGCCAAAAGCACCCATTGCATTGTAACGGTATCCTAATCGAAGACTGTGATTTCCTCCACATTCTTCTGAAAATGAATAAGCGGGTCCCTAAATCGAACCCCAGATTCTGATATAGAGAACTATGGCTGGTTAAGACATTTGAGCTGTTATATTTATATGCGATATAATACCCCCACACCCACGCTCACACTACCCTCTCAACGAAAAAGATATATTTCAGGTTCTAATAGACTAGGGAAAATGTATCCATTGCGGTATATTAGCCAATGCCCCCACCCCCACAGATACACACGTCCCCTCCCCCAATGATAGAGATAGACTTCTGGTAAACATAGGCAAGTGAAAATTTAGGAAATTGTTAAATAAATTATGGCTTGCTAAGACATTTGACACATCACCATCACCACACGCCATCGTCCAAATGATAGAGGTATATGTCAGGAGCACATAGACAAATAACTGACTTGTCTGTGAAAGAGTCAGACTTATTTGTTTCTGGGATTAGTCTACCTTGTTAATGATGCTGGACAGGAAGCCTGGCAATGGACAACGTATAGTCGTTCTGATGGGACGAACAACCGAGGTCCCTTGTACACATTGCACACATGTAAAAGAACCCTTGACGGTTGGAAATCGATATATGAGTAGACCACGTCACACTGTAGGGTGTACGCCCGTCTTCTTTAACCCAGTCGGAGACGAATAGCAACACGATAAACTCACACAAGCGTACGAGCCAGGAAGGCGGGGGAAGGGGGGGGGGGCCGCAGCTTCAGACGGGTAAAATGAAAACAAAAATTATTAACTGATTTAGCAGGCAATATATAGTGCCCGAAATCTAATAAAACACAAATTTTACTTGTCTTTTAATTGAATACCACGAGTATGTACCGAACTGACTATGTATTAAAACATTTTGTCAGGCGCCACTCTACTTTGTGCGACATTTTCGGGCTTCGATTATTATTTGTCAATGCGGATGCACCAGCCTGACTTTTGGGTGATTGGAATTCAGGTCGGCATAGAGTGGGATTTCGGTTGCAAAATGATTTGACAACACTGAAGTTGCTTAACTCACGGGACAGAATAGAAGACAATGCATTCAATTTTTACAATTTTCTCGGAGAGGACGAGGCACTGTACCCCGAAACGATTGATTATCAGCTACCTAAGGTAGGGTATATTGGACCACATTTAAGATGCTGTATTCACGTCTGGGTTAGCAGGAAAACGAGTTTGCGTCAGTCAAATTTTTCCCCGACGGTCCCGTCCCCGTGCACTGTGAACGATTGATTGGAATTCGAGTCATCCACCTAAGTTTGGGTATATTAGATCACTTTGAAGTTGCTCTATTCATGGGCTGGGAAAGCTAGAACACGTATTTGTGGCCGTCAAATGTTCGAAATTTTCTTGGGGAAGAAGTGAAGACAACCGGTGCTACTCCCTGTGATTCGAAATGTTTTCAGGCATTTCCGGTTTTGCCCCCTCCCCCCTTACATTCATCGAGCCAGTACGCCTATGGAAACCCCATGACGTTTCAGTGCAGACATATTGGACTAATATTAATATAATAGCGGTTTTCTTGGAAACGCCCAACTGATATAATATATATATATATATATATATATATATATAATATATATATATATATATATATATATACCCGGATATATATTATAGTGTCTTGTACGATCATCGAGTAGTGAAGTTGGGTAAGTTATTTTGTTATAAATGGAGTTTAACTATCACTTAACACAAATAAGGTTATTTTGGAACTAACATAATAGAGTATATTGGGTTTTTTTTCCAATAATTCGCTTACTGGTAGAGTCGTTAGCTTTCTCGACTCGCGGTCAAACCTGTGCCTTATAACATACAGACTGGGAAACGTAAGACTGCCCGGCATCCTACTCAGAACTATGATTTGTTATGAGCTCTGTTTTAATACTTTTACATGTACATGTAATATAGGAATATTGTAAAACGGGACGTTAAACCGCATTTCATTTCATTTATATATTAATCTATATA